GGGCGAGGAGGAGTATGAGATTTGGGGTTTGGAGCTTTTGGTTTGCCGGCAGCCGCCACCAACGGGGACGTTGCGGAGGACGCCGCCTTTGGTCCAGTAGCGGCGGCAGGACTTACAGAAGTGGCGGGGCTGAGAGAGGTTGTAGTTGTTGTAGTAGCAGAACTTGGTGTTGAGAGAGTCGCACCTTGGGCACTTCAAGGCCTGCTGGTTCAGGTGGTGGTGGGGCCTCAGCCGCCGATCTCCTCCTCCTCCTCCTCCCCCTGAGCCTGCGAAGAACCTCGCTCCTCCCACTGAATGAATGTCTTGCATTTCAAGTACTAAATGTAATGTAGAATTGGATTATATACCCACTCGAGTTTTCTTATAAATTTGATGAATTGCTGAATTTTCCGGGAAAATTCACTTCTCCTGCGCACACTCTGTCTGTTTTTCAGCAGTTGTTCTGTGTGTAATGCAAAGGGGGAGAGAGAGAGAGAGAGAGAGAGAGAGAATGTGTGTGTGTGTTTGGGGGGGGGGAGAAGAGGAGAAGTCGGAGAATTGGAAAGGAAGAATAAGTTGTGAGCTTCAAACACCGACAAATATCCCCCGCACATATCTTCCAAACTCTTTTTATTTTATCTAAAATTACCAAATTCGCCCTACGACACACGCAAATGACAGTATGACACTGACCAATGTTTTATAGTGCATGAAAAGACGCCAATACCCTCCTGAATAATATCCCAAGCGCTGTTGCTGAAATTGAACTAGAGCTTGAAGAGGTTTCGTTCATACTTTGGTTGGGCCAGGGAGGGAGGACCCGGGACGGACGATCGTGGGAGAGGAATAAGATCGAGCCGTTGGTGGAGGACGCGTGGACGGGTGAGATGGGGGAAGTGAGATGGTCGCTTTGTCGGCCACCCTTATTTTATCGGCTGAGACATAAGTGGTGGAAAGCGCGCCACGTTGCTTATTGTTACTGGTGAGTTGTCGAAAGTACGTGGAGGTTACTGTGTGATGTATCTGACGTGATGTTGTCTGTGTACAGACACTTGAGTGTTGGGTTGTCTAGTGTGTGTACGGTGTACCCTTCCATACTATATTATATTTTAGG